AGTAAACCTTGGCTCTTCTTCTAACTGGAAAATCAACTTTATCATAGGGCCTCCAAATTTAGTATTTGGTCCCTTTAGGATGATCTTTATACAGGGTGATGGGTCACGGTGGATGACCTATTATAGAAGTATCTGGAGAACGAAAAGACAGGTTATTTTGAAAATTGGGATGCTTCGATAATTGAACATTCTCTATTCGCCTAAAATATTTTTATCGATACAGTGTTGCCACTTCTATCAGAAACAACTAGCAACTTTGTTATTTCAAATAGAACACCCTGTATTTCATTGCATTTTTAGATTCTCCCTGAAGAGCTGATTTCATCGATGTATCTATCATTCTTGGGGTCGAGCAGATCTGATTACAGAGATATAGGGTATTCAAAATCTAGATTTTTCAATTTGAGGATTTGTTTGTGTCGAAACTATCCATTATTGATGGAAACGGCGTACATGTCCCTATTTCAACTTTTGATTCACTATCTACTAGAATTTAGCATACTAATTTTCAGAATGTTCTGTTTTTTCGTTCTCCAGATACTTCTAATAGGCCATCATCCACCGTGACCCACCCTGTATATAGGTCACTGATCATTTTATTGTATCAGTAAGAGAAACTGCCTATTCAAAAGTTAATTTCGAAACAAATTGGGATAACTTTTGAGCCGATTGCAAAAGAAATATTTTTTTTGGCCCAAAAATACACTTTGTCCTAGAGCCTTCAAATTTGGTATTCATGACTCATTTATAGGAATATTCTCTGATGGGGAGTAGAACAGCTCGCTCTAGCTCTAAATTTACAAACAAAAATCGATTCTTCGTATCCTTTAATTTTAAGGTACTCTGCATCTCTGAAATTAATGCAAAATCGATTTGATAGAAGTGTTCGGCAGACGAATTCGTGTGTGTTGAGACGATATCTGTGATTTTGAACCACATTTTCGTTTTCCTAAAAATGTCTGTATCTGGAAAACTATCAGAGATAAAAGAAAAGAAACTTCATATTCATGTTCAGCAGGCCGAGAACATCCTGTATACGAGTTTTCTGCTCAATCTGAGACCTTCAAAATATTGAGAAAAGTTCAAAGGGGTTAACCTTGTTTCTTTTTTAGACCCAAAAATCAACTTTGTCGTAGAGCCTTCAAATTCGGTATTTAGAACCCTCTAGGAATGCCCTAGTGCGGAGTAGAAGCACAGCCCTTTAGCCCTGAATTCAGAAAAAAATCGATTTTTTACCTCTTTTTGGAACCGAATTTTTCGCTCTCTATATCGCTAAAGTGAATGCAAAATCGAATTGATGGAAGTGTTCGGCAGACGAATTCTAGGATTCTGAACCATCACATTTTCGTTTTCCTAAAAATGCCTGTATCTGGAAAACTATCAGAGATAAAAGAATACCAACTACATATTCATGTTCAGCAGGCCGAGAACATCCTGTATACAAGTTTTCAGCGCAATGTTCTGCAGACATATTCCTGTGTGTTGTGATCGATCAGAGACAATTTCTAGGCTGAACCATATTTTCGTTTTCCTAAAAATGCCTGTATCTGGGAAACTATCAGAGATAAAAGAAAACCAACCGCATATTCATTGTCAGCAGGCCGAGAACATCCTGTATACAAGTTTTCAGCGCATTCTGAGACCTTCAAAATATTGAAAAAAGTTCAAAGGGGTTAACCTTGTTTCTTTTTCAGACCCAAAAATCAACTTTGTCCTAGAGCCTTCAAATTCGGTATTTAGAACCCTCTAGGAATGCCCTAGTGCGGAGTAGAAGCACAGCCCTTTAGCCCTAAATTCAGAAAAAAATCAGATTTTTGACCCCCTTTTGGGACCGAATTTTTCGCTCTCTATATCGCTAAAATGACTGCAAAATCGAGTTGATGGAAGTGTTCTGCAGACATATTCCTGTGTGTTGTGATCGATCAGAGACAATTTCTAGGCTGAACCATATTTTCGTTTTCCTAAAAATGCCTGTATCTGGGAAACTATCAGAGATAAAAGAAAACCAACCGCATATTCATTGTCAGCAGGCCGAGAACATCCTGTATACAAGTTTTCAGCGCAATCTGAGACCTTTAAAATATTGAAAAAAGTTCAAAGGGGTTAACCTTGTTTCTTTTTCAGACCCAAAAATCAACTTTGTCCTAGAGCCTTCAAATTCGGTATTTAGAACCCTCTAGGAATGCCCTAGTGCGGAGTAGAAGCACGGCCCTTTAGCCCTAAATTCAGAAAAAAATCAGATTTTTGACCCCCTTTTGGGACCGAATTTTTCGCTCTCTATATCGCCAAAATGACTGCAAAATCGAGTCGATGGAAGTGTTCTGCAGACGAATTCGTGTGTGTTGAGACCAGAGAAACGATTTCTAGGATTCTGAACCATATTTTCGTTTTCCTAAAAATGCCTGTATCTGAAAAACTATCAGAGATGAAAAAAAATCAACTCCATATTCATGTTCAGCAGGCCAAGAACATCCAGTATTCAAGTTTTCAGCGCATTCTGGGACCTTCAAAATATTGAAAAAAGTTCAAAGGGGTTAACCTTGTTTCTTTTTCAGACCCAAAAATCAACTTTGTCCTAGAACCTTCAAATTCGGTATTAAGAACCCTCTAGGAATGCCCTAGTGCGGAGTAGAAGCACAGCCCTTTAGCCCTAAATTCAGAAAAAAAATCGATTTTTTACCCCTTTTTGGGACCGAATTTTTCGCTCTCTATATCGCTAATGTGACTGCAAAATCGAGTTGATAGAAGTCTTCTGCGGACGAATTCGTGTGTGATGAGACCAGAGAAACGATTTCTTGGATTCTGAACCACATTTTCGTTTTCCTAAAAATGCCTGTATCTGGGAAACTATTAGAGATAAAAGAAAACCAACTACATATTCATGTTCAGCAGGCCGAGAACATCCTGTATACAAGTTTTCAGCGCATTCTGAGACCTTCAAAATATTGAAAAAAGTTCAAAGGGGTTAACCTTGTTTCTTTTCCAGACACAAAAATCAACTTTGTCCTAGAGCCTTCAAATTCGGTATTTAGAACCCTCTAGGAATGCCCTAGTGCGGAGTAGAAGGACAGCTCTTCAGCCCTAAATTCAGAAAAAAAATCGATTTTTGACCCCTTTTTGGGACCGAATTTTTCGCTCTCTATATCGCTAAAATTACTACAAAATCGAATTGATGGAAGTGTTCGGCAGACGAATTCTAGGATTCTGAACCATCACATTTTCGTTTTCCTAAAAATGCCTGTATTTGGGAAACTATCAGAGATAAAAGGAAACCAACTACATATTCATGTTCAGCAGGCCGAGAACATCCTGTATACAAGTTTTCAGCTTATTCTGAGACCTCTAAAAAATCTGAAAAAGTTCAAACGGGTTAACCTCGTTTCTTTTTCAGACCCAAAAATCAACTTTTTCCTAGAGCCTTCAAATTCGGTAATTTAGAACCCTTTAGGCATCCCCTAGTGCGGACTAGTTCTCTAGTCCCAGAATGAAAGAACAGGAAACTTTATAACCCATTTAGGACCAATTTTTTTGGATCTCCATATTTCAGATATGCTATTGAACATAATTGGAAAATTGAGTAGGTACATTGGAATTGAAACAATATAATTAGATAACAATATTTAATTATTTATTGCCAGTATACAAATGTACATTACATTGTGTTGCTGATTTCTCAAATTTCATGTAAGTAAGCAAACATTATTTTTCTTGCATACCTATATCATTACATAGGCTATAATTCATTATACACACTATTAAATCATCATTGTTGTTTCAATATACAGGGTGTAAATTTGAAAACTTCCAATGCGAATATCTCGCGAAAGAAAAAAGTTAGAAAAACGCCGTTTGGCAAAAATGCTAAAGAGTTAAAAGGGGGACTAGAACCACCATATTTCGGTCAAGGGATGAGTCACCCCGTCGGCGCGACACACCCCAACTTTGAAATGTCAAATGGCACTACCTTATTTGTGATGCCTCAAATGAACAGTCTCAGTCAGTAGTATTCACCTGTACAAGACTTTTTTTCCACCCACTACAGGGTGTACGAAAAATATAAAGTCGAATAAAATAAAATGAATTGTGTTAAAAGGATATTTTATTTGATCAGATGTTCAAAATGCATTCCATTCTGTTGTAAGCAATAGTATAATCGAGTTTCAAATGCCATTCTAACATTTTGGAACACATCTCTTGGAATATATCGGCATTCTGCATTTTATTTTATTCGACTTTATGTTTTCCGTTCACCCTGTAGTGGGTGGAAAATAAGTCTTGTACAGGTGAATACTACTGACTGAGACTGTATATTTGAGGAATCACAAAAGAGGTAGTGCCATTTGACATTTCAAAGATGGAGTGTGTCGCGCCGACGGGGTGACTCTTCCCTTTACTGAAGTATGGTGGTTCTAGTTCCCCCTAACTCTGTAGCATTTGTGCCTAACGGCGTTTTCCTAACTTTTTTATTTAGCGAGATATTCGCATTGAAAGTTTTCAAATTTACACCCGTATCTAAAAAATTGATACCCGAAAATTATATTTCAAACTAATTCAGTTTTTTGCGTAAAAATTAAATTAGACCCTTAATACAGAGACTTATTTCATTAGACCATTTTCATCATCCCCATTGATATAATAAATGAAAAAAAAAATCATCGATTGATATATATTGCTCATAGTTTCCAACAGTGTGGAAATCATTCTGATTGGTCAAAATCTTAGTCCATGGAGAAAGTTCTGCTGGACAATGGGGAAGACCACTCAGGGATGAAATCCGCCCAAACCTCTTTCAATTGATGAATCATATTTACATATATGTTAACATTCAATGTAAAATCAATATAAGTTAAAGTAAATATGAAGCCAAATCACTGAGCTGTGACATATTAGTCTCTAGCTGTACCTACATCTCTCTCTCTCTCTCTCTCTCTCTCTCTCTCTCTCTCTCTCTCTCTCTCTCTCTCTCTCTCTCTCTCTCTCTCCTCTCTCCTCTCTCTCTCTCTCTCTCTCTCTCTCTCTCTCTCTCTGACACTTTGCTATTCTGCAGTGTTGCATTGTGATTGGTCAGCTCAAGGACAATAGGCGTGTTGGACTAATACGTCACACAAGTCACACCAATGAATTGACACCGTGACAAATGGAGCAGGAAGTGTGTGTGATTTGAAATGAACATATTTCAATTAATTTTTTCATCGGCTCAGTGTATGAATGAACGAGTTCAAAATTATCATCACTTTTTGGTATACAATTGTCATTCATAAAGTTCCCATCATATGGGAAAAATTTCAATGATTCATTTTGAAAAATATGAAAAATGGCCTACTTGGTCGGAGTCACGTGACTTCCGTTACATGTCAAAAGTTTCATTTATTTCAAATCAATCGCTGAAAATAGGCTCATTTGTTCGAATTTAATAAGCTTTGGTTAGTGGATACGTAAAGTAGTATGATAATATTTTCAAATTTTGACAGATGACTTTGGCACCGTGCGTAAAATTCGAAGCTGTGGGATTATTGTTTTCTAAAGAAAATCATATTTTTCTCGTTAATAATGATTGAAAGTTAGTAACATGATGAAGCCACTAAAATGGAATAGTTTTGTCGGTGATTTTTTTCAATGATACTGACATTTCGAAAAAAAATTAAAAATATCAAAAACTAAGAGTTGTGATGAAACGTTTAAATTCAGGATACATGTAAGATTGGAATAGAAACAACTTTTCTCATTAAATTTTTTGAATTCAAATAAATGAGACCAGCGATTACCGACCCAGTAGTCCATTTTTAATATTTTTTTGAGCAAAACTCAACACCCAAGTCGGATTTTGAAATAAATTACTATTAAAAGTTTTTCCCATACGATGCCGACCTTATGAATGTAATCAGTGGTCTCCCCCATTATTATTTTTTATTCTTGACCAGCTTCAGTTCCGGTATCTTCTTCTGCCTGCCTATCACGGCCTTGCCGTCCATGTACTCTTGCAAAACTTCCGGCACGTGTATGAATCCATTGTCGTCTTGTCCGTGTTCCGTCAAGGCTATCAGCAGTCTCGGGATGGCGCAGGCTGTTCCGTTGAGGGTGTGCACGAAGTCGGTTAGCCCTTCCTTCGATTCATACTTGATGTTCAACCTAAAGGAAATATTTTTTTTTTTTCATCTTCTTGAACACTCAACACATCTATCAATTCACCCAAAAAAATATTGGAAAGTCCAATGAAAAATTAGTTATTTATTATACAAGGGAAAAAAGTAGTAGATTTTAGCTCCAGGTTGTGTTGTCTCCCGACGCGTAGCAGTGGAGGGAGGGACAAAAAACCGTGAGCTAAAATCTAATATATTTTTCCCGTGTATAACACACAATTTTTTTCTGTGACAAAAGAAAGGACGAATCAATATTGAGAAGATATTACATTATTTTAAAATCTGTAAATTATCGACGTGAAATTTTAAGTTTTTTACAGTAGGGACACCTGCGTTGTAGGCATCTTTATCATTCTGTTGAAGTAATCAAATATCTGATGTCACTTCTGTCAGTCTGATTCTGTGATTTGATTTCGAAAAATTGCGAATTTAGTGGTTATTTAGTTCCAAGGGAAAAAAGTAATTCATGAAAAGTGACATTTTATAACCTGCCAACAGAGATCAAATGCCAAACTTTTTTACCGTCACAGAAAAATAGTTATTATTTCTGTGACGGGGAAATTTCATCTCCGTTGACAGGTTATAAAATATCACATTTCATTAATTACTTTTCCTTTTCTCCTTTTTATTTTCCATTCGACTTCGCGGTTATGTACATTACTAAACAACCACTGAATTCGCATTTTTTATATCCAATCATAGAGTTAGAGTGACAGATATTTGGTTACTTCAGAAACCTCAAATTTCACGTCGATAATTTTCGGTTTTTCGTCTTCCTCTTCCCTTGTATAATAATAGTAGATTGTTCTATTAGGATCAAAACGGATCAAAAGTATCACTCTGTTTGACAAGCGAATTTCGCATTTGCGAGGCGGAGTCCATATTCCACTATGTTTGGCTCGGTTATCGAATAGAGGTAGAGAATAATGTTGTGTGAGGCAAAAAGGCCGTGATTATTGAAAAACAAGTTATTCAATCAATCAGATCCCGAGAATAACAAATGGACTTCAGACCAAGCAATAATGTGAATCTTGAAGGCTTTCCTGATCAAAACAAATATACTCAACTATATGGCGTATTTATATCTCCAGCATGGGTATGAGATGCCAAATCAGCCGGAATCGGAAACAAATTAGGTATGCGTCACAACTCAAAAAACCAACCAAATAAGCAACCCTAACAATGTTGTTAATTCTTGATGACCTAGTACATCCTCTTCAGTTTCTAAGAGCTAAAGTTCAGCCTCAACTTGTCATTACTCCTGTTCAAGCAAAATCTTTAATCAAAATTAGAAGAAATATTGTATGAGACTAGTTAGGAAAGGCATGACGCATCTTTTAACTGGTTATGTTAATAAACCCTGTTCTGATATAAACTGTTTGGGCTTTAAAGCACTAAAAATGTTTTAGATCAAACCAGAATACTTGAATTTTTATTTATATGGTTGAACAATACTGAATGTATATCAAAATTTCAATTTCAATAATCTTGAAGAATATACAGGGTGAGTCATTAGTGTGGCAAAGTGAGATAACGGCTTTACTGTTTCAGATAGATGAACAAAAATTCCAGAGATGAACTAGGATCCTGAGCAGCACATTTACAAATCATTTCGCTCTATACAGGGTGACTCAGAAATGCGTGACGTATCGAAGTTTTTTTCTTATGGGGCACCCTGTATTTCATTGCATTTTCGCATTCTCCTTTGTGAGCTGATTTCATCAATGCATCACACTTGGGGTCTAGCGATAATGATTACAGAGATATAGCAGGGTGTTCAAAATCGAGATTTTTCAACTTTAGGATTTTTTTGCGTCAAAACTATTCATTATTGGTCAAAACGGCTTTCATGTCCCTATCCCAACTTTTGATTTACTATCCACTGACATTAAATTAGAACAAATACAAGGGTGATCAGAATGCTGAATTTTGAACCACCCTGTATTTGTTTCAAATAAATGTCAGTAGATAGTGAATCAAAAGTTGAGATAGGGACATGAAAGCCGTTTTGACCAATAATGAATAGTTTCGACGCAAAAAAATTCTACAGTTGAAAAATCTATATTTTGATCACCCTATATCTCTGTCATCATTCTCGTTAGACCTCAAGTGTGATGCATTGATCAGCATTGATGAAATCAGCTCAAAAAGGAGAATGCAAAAATTCAATGAAATACAGGGTGTCCCATAGGAAAAAGTATAACTTTGATACGCCACGCATTTCTGAGTCACCCTGTATAAAGAGAAATAATTTGGAAATCTGCTGCTCATGATCCTAGATCATCTCTGATTTTTTTTTCACCTATCTCAAACAATAAAGCCGTTATTCACTTTGTCACACTAATGACTCACCCTGTATATATATTCCTTTCAAACATTATATATTTGCATCATGTTTGAATTGTAGCAAAGAATTTTGATAGGCAATAAAATTCAATTGTTATACATTGTGTCTTTTCAGTGGTGAAACCACATTTGCGGAGAAAAACTAAATATACAGGGTGATCCATTTTTGAATAATAAAGAAATTGTCAGGAACATTACACATGAATCATCTAGTATACTCAATCATCCCTTATAAATGTGGTGAATTGAGATTGGAAATTGACCTGTTTCAGAAGATTCAAAAAATGAATAGTTTGGCTAAACATTTATTTATTCTGTACTATAAAGAAGCACTGTATAGTAGGTGGCACAATATACATGAAAAATTGTTGTATTTATTCAAGTTGAATAAACTTTCCACCATAGAAAGATATTGAAGAAATAAATTTCCTAAAGTAATCAAGTTATACATATATTAAATACCCAAATAATAATGAATAAATAACAGATACTTGAAAAACTTTCTTCAAGAAGAAAATGTTAACAGTGGATTGGAAAAGAACTCTTAATGTTTTTTTTTGACACCATGTATAAAGTACTAACCTTCGAGATTGATAGTCTGTGCAATTACTGCAACTGGAAATCTCTCCATACATTTTTCTACCAGACATCCATGCTTCAATGTCATACTTCCTGTAAGCTTGGGCTCCTAGTTCATGTGCAGGCATATCAAGCACTTGACAGTGTAGTCCTAGAGATTTGAAATTTTCTTCTTGTAGGATTCTAATGTCTTCTAAAGCTGAATCAGATGCATCTGGTGTAGAAACCATGAACATTTCTACTTTAGTAAACTCATGTACCCTTAAAAAAATTCAGCAGTTTTCAATAGAGATATTTAGTTCACATATAAATAGAGAATTTTGAAGACATTATAATTCTTCTCATACTCTTTATGAATCATAATTGAGTAAGCATGTCCTGACAACAAATTATTGTTGTTTTCACAACAAAAAAGGAACAGAATTGGCTATTTGCCTCTTTGACTTCGATAGATTCAATATTCAACATTAGTATACATTCAATAGTGGGAATATATCATTTTGGAACAGCTCAAAGTTTCTATTTTAAGAAATTAACTAATTATCATACCTGAATATTCCTCTCTCTTCTGCAACACTTGAAGTCTCTGCCCTGTAGCATCTACTCACAGCAGCTAATTTCTTTGGCAACTCATTTTCCTGAAAAGTTTCTCCTGCCAAATAACCAGCTAGGGACATTTCTGAGGTTCCTGATAGACATAAATCAGGTCCATGAAGCTTTGGTTCTAGGGTATATACCTAAAAAGTGTTCATATGTGATTCTAATGCAGAACAATAAATTCATATCAGGCAATTACTATATGAATTAACAATATCACTTCTGTCACCACCTACAGTAACTACCTATAATGAGCATTTTATGGCAATAATTTTTGCACCTGAATATATTAAAATTAATCAAGATCATGTTCAGAATGAGTTATTATCATTGACTTATATTATACCTGATTTCTTTCACCCTTAGTATTCATTCCACACTTCTCAATAACATCTCTGGGCAATATATCTGGAACAGATATAAACTCAAACCCATTTTGCATGAGATTTTTCATGAAATAGTTCAATAGTGCATGTTCTAGTTCAGCCATTTCACCTAGAATATAGTAACTTCTATTCCCACTGACATTTCCCAACTGTTCAGTCCTTACCAGGTTGAGTCTCTTGGTGATTTCATGAAATTCTCTCTGCTTGAAGGGAAATTGCTTTTTGTCATTTATAGTTTTCAATAGCTTTGGATGTTCGCCATATTCTAAAACAGCTGGATGTGTGAGGTTTGGGATTTTCAATAGTTCTTCATTGAATTTGTTCCTAAAATCTCTGTAAACATGGGAATCTTCATGAACCTTGGCTAGCTCTTTGTTTAGTTCATTGACTAGTTGTATGTCACCAACACCTTTTCTTTTTAGAATATTATCTGTGATGAGAGCCAGATTCTTAGGATTACAAAGAAAGCCTGTATCCAACTGAGGCTCTTTCAAGTTCTTCCATGATGATATGGGTCGAGAAAAAAAATTAAAATATCTATTCTTCGCAAACTTTCTCATGGTTTGAACATATGAAATAGATGTTTCTTCAAAAAAAATTACATGTTCAAATTCAGATGTTCTTGTTCAGAAACGTGAATTTATAAAAAACTTGAATTAATTTCAAAACTTGGTTAAAATGATCTTCTTCTATCCATTACGTGTTGTGATTCAATGTTATTCAGTCACTAAAGACACTGCTGTCTTCGAAACCTTGCTCATTGAGTGCAATGTACATACATGTCAGGTTCTTGCTTGCGTTCTAGCGTATAAATAAAGAAGAATGTGTGGAGTAATAACATAACCTTACTCTTACTTAGGTTGTCAAAAATAATATTTTCTGATTCAAATTTTAATTTTGATTTTATTTAAAAATTGACAAAAAGATGCATGACAAAGAAAATTTATCGGATGTTAGTAAATTAGTAAGTGACATAAAACACAAGTAAGTGTGAGGGGTTAACTGATGAAATATTGAGGAAATATTGCAGATAATCCTGAGATTGAATATTGAAGTGTATTCTTCATTACAGAAATATACTCAGCTCATTAGATATTGCCCTAAGAAGTGAGGATTTACTAAAAGAACTAATTTCTCAGGGACAATGGAAAAGTGCAAGGTAGGTACAACTTCAACTACTGAAATAAATATAAGTGCTGCCACTGTTTCTTAGGGAGCTCATGAATCTGGTCAAAATACGCATACAGTACATCAAAGAAAACTTGCCACATGAGGCAACTGCAGCAAATGTTATGAGACATGTTTTGAAAGTTATTAGAGAGGAGTATGAATGTGAATCAAAGGTAATGGAATGAACATATTCATGTCCATATTTTACTATTCCTACTGATTTCAGAGGAAAGTAGAGGGTCAATCATTGCATCAGTTAGTCACTGCTCATCCTGCAGATGTACTGGACTACTCAGAATCATTAATAAATCTGAAAACAAGCCTGATAGATCATCTCACTGAATATAAAGTGGAGTTGGAATCAAGGTAATTATGAAAACATTTTCTTCAGTTTCCTATCTCACTCTGTGATGCTTGATGCTTTTCAGTGGTGAAAATATTGCTGCACAAGCTTCTGAGCATATTCACATGGATGAGATAATTCTTACTGTTGGCAAATCAGACACTGTTGAGAAATTTCTCAAGTCAGCTGCCAAAGTGAGAGCATTCAAAGTTGTTGTTGTAGAAGCTGCACCTCTATACTATGTGAGTTCATTTGTTAGCCTTAGGAAACTCATTGAAACTCAATATATATTCTCTGTAAATTTAGATTTCATGATGATTATCAATCCTAGGGTCATAAAATGGCAGTAAGCTTGGCTAAGAGCAACATACAAACCACAGTCATATCAGATGCAGCAGTATTTGCAATGATGTCCAGAGTGAATAAAGTCATTATTGGTACTCACACTGTATTAGCAAATGGAGGACTGAGAGCAGCAAGTGGCATACATGCTGTGGCTTTAGCTGCCAAACATTATTCAGTGCCTGTGAGTTCTAAAATTACATTTTAATTCTCATCACTTCTGATTTGTTCTCAGAATGAACTGATTTTTCCCTAAGAGAAAGTAATGCTAGAAATCAGATATAAAAAATGTTTGAATGTATGAACATCTCAGAATATTGTATAAACACTTGAAGTATTAAATTCACCAACATTTATTATTTTAAAAACATTAAAACAACAAAAGGGTTCGTCCATAAGAGGATATCATCTGATTCAAGATTTCATTTGCATTTTCAATCTCTTAAATAGTTTTTAAGATATCAGAGGTCATGACTGTGTTGAAAGCATGATATCCATTACACTGTTGCATCATTATTATAAAAATATGACATCTGGAATGCTCATTTTGGTTTGAGGAATACTAAAGGAAATAAGAAAAAAATGAACAGACAATTTTTATATTTTGTAGGTTATGGTTCTCTCACACATGTACAAATTCACTCCCCTCTATGTGGGTTCTCATAATCAAGAAGCTTTCAATATATGTGCCTCACCTGCCAATGTGATTCCTTATTCTGCTGGCAAAATACTCAACAGCATCCAGGTTTTCAACCCTGTCTTTGACTATGTGCCACCTGAGCTAGTGACACTCTTGATCTCACATCAGTAAGTGGTAATTTATTATTAAAACCTATTCTGATGGAAGTTTCAAAAAAATGACATTCTACAATCATAAAAGTGTTATCGAGAGTGTTATACAACAAATACATTTGATTTTTGTCCCTCAAAAATACTAGTGAGGTGAGAAATTTCCGAGAGCACATAATATTGATCAATAATACCTATTGTTCTCTTCATTGCATTTTTTTTCTCAATTATGAATCCTTGTGTTTTACAAGAAAAATAATGTATTCAATTATATGTAGTTTCATAGATATTATATACCTTTTTCTTTTTTTTTTTTTTCAGGGGTGGTAATGCTCCATCATATGTCTACAGGTTATTATCAGAACTGTATCATCAGGATGACTATGATATTTGATTCAATTGAAAAATATATTTGTTTTGTTTTGGAAATGCAGTGTGTTCCATCAAAATTGAAATTTGTGTAAAAATCAATGTCTGTTCATGCATCAAGTTTTGGACTATTAATTGGAATACCTATATGAAAAATACATCCCAGTAAGTTGTAATTGAGATTTATCAAAATCAAAAAATTGCAAAAAAACTATCCACTAATATAACATCAACTAACCCTCTTTCTGAAAATACTGCAGACTTGCTGAAAGCAATTTGAATAAATAAGGATTGAAAATAATCAAGATGCATTTCATTCCTTCAAAACTTCATTATTTTAAATGTTTTGCATTGTAACCTGATAATGAAACATCTGTATTATACTAATAAAACTGCTCCTGCTCAATAAAAACCCATTTACATATTAAATAGTCAAAATTAATTAGATTAAGATATGTATATGATATCATGATTGTCTGGACCCATCTTGTGTCATAACTATCAAATCTGTATTATCAATTTTTTTTAATTTTTATTAAACTCAACTAAAACGTTCATTTTCCTGAAAACACCGCAAATGTATGCAACACACATCACATCACCATTTGATCAATCATAGAAATTAGAGCCTACCCATAGCAGCACTATATGGAAATATTGCCATGGCGGCTAGCAAAGAGCATATAATAGTTATTTGTTTAACTAGGCAGCAAAGTAGTAGATTGACTGCCGAGTTGAACATATAATTTTTTCTCCGATTGTTTATAATGATATAGGAGGATATTGTATTCGCAAATTATTACAATTTCCACAATTTCTTTATTTTTCCTGTAGTGTTCAATAAAAATAAAATTTGATAGACATCGCAGTTGTTGGAATGGTTGGTTGCTATGGAAATGTCCATAATAATTATAGTTTGACAGTTCATGAAATTTCTGACAGTTGTGCTAAAAAATATCGGTATATTTAAATTATTATATAATGGACAGTGATAGCCACCTGGAAGTACTTACTCCTCCAGAAATAAGGGAGGTGGCAATAATTATAGAGTTAAATTTGTTGCCGGAGAAGTCTCGGATGAAACATGAAGGAAATTGCTGCCTAGGCAGAAAAAGTAATACTTTGCTGATTGATATGTGTCAGCAAAATTAATATTTGCTGCCAATCGGAGAAAAAATTGTTTTGTAGTATGATGTGCCAGAAGCTTGTTGGTCTTTAGAGTAGCGTTCTTTCCTCTGAATAATAGATAACGAAGAGGCCGGGGTTCGAATCCCTATTCCATAATTTTTTTTTTAATTTTTTTTTTTTACATTGATAAATCGAAACAAGAAATACTGTGGAGGCATTTACTGGTGAGGCAGATAGTGATTTGCTATTTCAATGGGGATTTCTTTCAGGATTTCCTGTTTCTCGCGAGCTGCGAGCCATGCGCAATATTACCTGGCTATGGTTCTATGGCTAGACTCTATAGTATCATAGAAGACTGCGAACTCAATTGACTTAGAACATTTGCTAATGATGGAGTCAATTATTGTTTATTCAGAAAAATAATCTTTCCAAATACCACTCGTTCCTCAAATTTCAACAGAATTTTTCTTATTATCTCCACTCAATCTTTTTCGTTTGAGTGTAAGGATTCAAACAGAACTACATAGATAAAATCATGAGATCCTCTGGACAATCGGTTTGCGTTTGTTTTCATATTTATACAAAATAAACGAGTTCTTGTATAAAATAAAATGAATATCTTTGCAATTTTATATCTCATTAATCTTGTTCATTGAAAGAAATATTTTTATTGATAAACTGTCACATAATTTTCAAGCTCAGTGCACTTAATAACAATTTTTATAACAAAGAAATAAATAATATGATAAAATCAGTCCTATCCCACTAAGCAAATTTGCAAGCAATGTTGATGCACGGTTGTAGTAAGTACTGAAACAGACGTTCAGCAATATTGCGAATGTAAATTTGTAAATGTAACGTTCCAGCAATGTCACAGCAACATGTAATATTGCTGCAACGCTTCATTATCAAACTTGACCTTTGCAATATTGCTGAACGCCCGTTTCAGTAATTGCTTCAACATTGCGTCAACATAGCTTTCAACTTTGCTTAGCGGGAAGCATTGAAATGTCCAAATTGTGAAATTAATGGACGTTTTTCCTGACATATATGTTACCAATGACATGTTCAAATAAAATAGTGTTTTGTCACTTGCACCATTCCATGAATGGCGGAAGATTAGTGATATCTTGAAATTGTTGGTATTTTTCAACTCCTGTAGCAATAGCATGCATCTTTGGTACTCTGTGTTATCCAAGGAAGATGGTCACTTATTGTGGTGTAAAGAGCAAGACTTGGATTCGAATCACAAACATTTCTATCACCTAGGACACCTAAAAAAAACACCATTATTGTTAACTTAACAGAACATGTTCAATATGCGGACTCCATATGAATTGCAGAAGCTGAATTAAAAATTTCAAGAAAATTAAGCTAGGATTTTTTTTATGCGAGTGAGTATATATATAATAAGATGCGACTTACCAATTATATCATAAACACCTTTATAATTTCTATACATAACTGCTGCCCCTGAATCAACCTAAAACAAATGACAATATTGAACCATATTGAAATATAATATTTTTGATATTTCATTGGTATTTCATAACAAAACATACATGAAATATGCGAAAACTGATACAGATGATGGTAGACCATAAACAAATGAATGTTTTTGTGAAATATTATTACAAATAAAAGTAATGCAATTTACCTCCCGTTTTGATCGAATTTTATAATTCTAAAATAACTCTATTGTGTGGTATGCATCACAAAGAGTATAAATGCAAAATGGAACTGAAAATATCATGATTATTAGTGAATAATAATTATATTCAAATATAATCTCATGGACAAAATGGTCGAATATTTTATGAACATGAGTCTGATTGTTATTAAACAAAAATGAAAACTTTTCCCATTATTCTGAGCTGAATAATATCTTCGTGTGATCTATATAATAACATAACATCAGAAATTGCCTTCTCCGGCATCTTCTTCACTAATGTATAGGGTGATTTATGGGATTTGGCGAAAACATATTTTGGTCATCAGTTTCCAACAGCTTCATCATTCGTCTGAATTTGTCATGGAATAGTTTGCTACCACTCTCTTATTGACTGATTTATTCAGAATTGGAAAAATTCAGGTCCGTTCTTGAAAAAATTTCACTATTTTTATTCATGTTATTACTTCACAACGCATAATAAATGTCACAAATAAGAGTGAGACTCGCGTTTTCAAAGCTTCAGCTCGATGGAAATCATCATATTATTCTGTTTCCAGGGCTTGATGCAGACATTTTAATGTTTTGTGGAAGGTTATAATAATCCTGTAGATCTTATTCTTTGAATCGGTGGATGGGGTATCTGTATTAATATACGACTGAGTACATGAAAATGAAGTACTATGTTCAAGATTTTTTTTGTCAACTTTAGGGCATCTCCGCAAAGCTCCTATGATTGGAGATTTTTTTGTATCAAGTTCCTTAATGTACCTACTGAACCTCAGACGACTGCGCTGTTTTGACGTTCGGACACTATATGACAAGCACTGACAATCAGACATATCCACAAATAAATTGATGGAAAAAGCGTGAACTGACAGTACACGGACGTATAGTATATCCAATATCAATTGCAGGATATCCCGCACTGTGCGGCGTCGGCGTGTTTGAAGTTTCCTCTCAAGCACGATTGCAGGTGCGGCATAAGATTTTGCAATTGTTTTTGTATAAACTATACATGACATAAATTTCAAATGTTTGACAAATATGAGAAAGATGCAGGTTTGTGCAGTTTCCAACTGTGAGAACACAGGAAATCAATTCACTCTATTCGAATTTCCATCGGATAACGTAATTCTACAAAAATGGAAATAGAATAATAAGTATATTATGCGGCCGGCATGGAATATAGGTTCAGGCCATGAAGTTTGCGAGGTAGTAAAATTTGTTGGAAGGATATAGAATATTTTTCAACACATTTTTATTAGGTACACTTTTGAACGGAAGATTTGATGTTGAAGAATAGGATCGTATTGCGAGAAAGTGCCGAACCCACCATTCATAAACTGAGCGAGTATCGAACAGATGCTTATTCCAGTTTAGAACCAAGAAGAAACAAAAAGCTTGCAGGTAATGAAATTCATTTCTCTGGTTATTGCTTATTGTGATGGAATGATGGAGCACAGATCACAATAGCCACCATGGAGATCATGGTCGATCATCTGATAATGAAACAGCAGCAACCCAGTGAACATGAGACATTCATAAAATATTTCAAGATTACCTAAAATGTTTATGATTGAAACATTTTTCAGGAACATTCCAGGGATATTGCAAAATCACTTTATTCAGACCTACCTCGCAAATCGGACTGGCAGACCCGACAACCCCAACGCATCCCTTGTCGGGGCTGACGTACCGCACGTCATAGGCGTACTGCTGGCACTCTGAGTAGCTCAGCACGGGCAAGCCTAACTTCCTGGGCCGGCAGGATCGTACCGCGGTGACGCCCGTACCAGCGGCGGTACCATTGGCGTTGGCGGTGTCGTTAACTCCAGCAGTTGGTGTTGTTGCGTTCGTCGTGGTGTTTGCGTACTCCGCCCAACCGGAGACCGTGGCTACTTGGCCCAAATATCTGGCATCTATGGACAATGACAATATACAATCAGTATTAGCCCTAACAACACCAGTACTTCCCAGGGACGTCCCTGATTTTATATTAGGACATCCCAGGGATGTCCTTTGTCGGGACAACATACATAGGACCAGTCTATTTTTGATAACGCACATGTGTGCATGTGACTACGCGAATCTTCTGTAAATCGTAACCTGCTACATAATAAAAGTCATCTATTTGTTATACCTAATTAATCAGTGTTTACTATTATCTTCCCAATTATAACTTAATACATAAGTATTTAATATGGTGGCAGCGGTGAAAGTGATAACAATAGGTTATACCGGTTATGGACATGTAGTAAACAGTGTTGTTTCGTTGTTCCAATAGCAGGTGCGCGATTTGTTATCAGTAGAGCAGGTGCGCGATTTGTTATCAGTCGAGCAGCGGCGTTGTCGGATTGACTCGCTAGGAGTGAACTTGAGAGACATTAAGCCTGTGGCTTGAAAAGTGCGGTTATTGCGCTGGTTATTCGCGATTACAAGATTTTATTGTTTGCCTAATAAAATCTCGCGAAATGTCTGAAGGAAGAACTCCTGAACCATTTTGCTTCGAGGGCAATAATGTAGCTAATAGCTGGAAATTCTGGAAACAGAAATTTGAACTCTTTTTAATGGCCACTGGAAAAAGTGCAAAGGAGGACAAAATAAAAATCGCAATTCTCCTGAATCTATTAGGGGATGAGGGGTTACAAATATTCAATACATTTGAATATGAAAACGAGAACGATGAGAAAAAATATGCCATTGTGTTAGGAAAATTCGATTCCTATTGTCAACCAATGAAAAACATGATCTTTGAACACTTCAAGTTTTTCAAGCGGGATCAACTACCCAATGAAAGCATCGATCAGTTTGTAACAGCGTTAAAACAGCTGGCAGTCTCCTGTGAGTTCAAAGAAAGGGATGTTTTGATCTTGGATCGTATAGTTTTGGGAGTACGAGACCAAAAAATCCAAGAAAAGCTCCTACAATACACTAGTCTAGAGCTCACTCAGGCTATAGACATTTGTCGGTCTATGGAAAACAGTGTACAAACTCAGCGGGAAATCGCGAAAGAAGTGAACCTTATCCGGAACAGTGATTTTCGAGGAAATGTTAAAATCTCTGGGCAATCTGCACGTCGTAAATATCCAGGACCGAGTCCAGGACCATCAGGATCTCGAACAGGACAGACCATGGAACCACGCTTGGGACACTCATCAGGATATTCTGGGGGTAACAAAGCAGGTAGCAGAAATATAAGAGGTGATAACATGCAGCAGAACTACAAAGGTAAAAATTTTCCTTGCACCAAATGCGGATATCAGCATGATATTGGTAAGTGTTCTGCTAACAACAGATACTGTTCATTGTGTCATGAAAAAGGGCATTATCGGAAATTTTGTCCAAGAAAAATCTATGAAATAAACTGTGAAACTGACTCTGACAGTGAAGAAGAGATTGATACTAATGAAAATATACCCAGACAGCACTGGATATTCATAGAATATTCTCTAAATATGCTAAAAAGGAGGAGTATATTCCGAATATTCATCGATTATTCCTAGAATATATACATGCCTCTGGAACATCTAAAAGGAATATTCCAAAAGTGAATAGTCGGACATGTTCAGGGAATATTCAGGTATGAATCTTCCAGGAATATTCCCAACTGAATATTCTCTGTTGTATATTCATGAAATGTACCCAACTGAATATTCTGTGCGGTATATTCATGAAATATACCCAACTGAATATTCTGTGCGGTATATTCATGAAATATTCTCAACTGAATATTCTGTGGTGTATATTCATGAAATATTCCATGAATATTCCTATGTTTCTCAACACATAAATACCATTTATTATTTCAGAGATGTGAGTATCGATCATCAATTAGATGTAAGGGGATTTTGAAACAAAAAGTGTTTATGATCCGATTTCGAACAATGCTCTCACAAGAACTTGATATTTATAACGTTATTCAATTCGGTTACTGGCCTAGTGGTCAAGGCGTTGCTCTGATAGTCTTGAGGTCACGAGTTCGATCCCTACTTGGGTCACTTTTTTTTATTTTAGAATATGTTTATTGGAATATTCCAGGAACATTCAACATAGAATATTCTTTTGGGTATATTATATGATTATCTGAGGAATTCCCATTCGCATATTTAGAGAATATTCCACAGATATTCCGGAATATTCCAGATTATTTCTAGAATATTCTAATATTCCAAAAGGAATATGATAGGGAGATTCATGGAATATCTGGTGCTGTCTGGGTAGTATGGACAATTCAAAATGACTCTCGCGTTGACTCAGTGGACTGGTTTGAAACACTAAATTTCAGCGGTTGTGAAATTAGTTTAAAAGTCGATACTGGCAGCCAGGTGAACATTTTGAATAGTTCTGACTTTCGTAAAATTCAAATTGACGCGAATGAGCTCTCACCCGCTTCCAGTACCTTAACTAGTTATACGGGACATAAAATCGATGTGTTGGGACAAATACATTTAGAGTGTGGACACAAAAACATCAATAAAACTCTTCGATTTTATATCCTGAACAATGATACCTCAAAATCGATTATAGGGTTATCGGGTGCTCAAAAGTTGAAAATAGTCAATGATAATACAAACACGACAGTCAACATTGTAAATAATGAATTAGAGCAAATTCTGGACACTTATAAAAATGTTTTTTCGGGAATAGGTAAAGTGAATAAGTGTTTCAAGATCACTTCAACCCACGATGCGGTTCCATTCATTAGTGGTACGCGAAAAATACCCCTAGCTCTTAGAGACAAAGTTAAGGACAGTCTTAATGATATGGTGCGTGATAATCTGATTATTCCGGTTAGTGAACCCACTGACTGGCAAAATCCGGTAGTAGTAGTGCCAAAAAACAACGGTACTGATATCAGAATATGCATGGACCCTGTTTATTTAAACAAATACATTAAAAGAGAACGATTTCCTATTCCTACGCAAGAAACTTTATTCACGAAATTAGTGGGTGCGAAATATTTTTCGCTGCTAGATGCCTCGTCGGCATTTCTTCAATTACCGTTGGACTATGAAAGTTCTCTCATGTGTACTTTTTCGACACCGTTCGGACGATTTCGTTATTTACGCTTACCTTATGGATTAACGTGCTCTCCGGAATTTTTCCAACGTTTCATGCATGAACTTCTAGAAGATATACCTGGACAAATAACATATTTTGACGATATTCTGGTTTTTGGCAGTTCAATCATTGAACACAATACAAATTTGAAAACTGTGCTAGACAGAATTCAAAAAAGTGGACTAACACTCAACAAACAAAAGTCAAAATTTTGTCTGAAACAAATCAAGTTCTTGGGACACCAAATAAATGAGATCGGCATCACCCCAGATTTTGATAAAACACAAGCCATTTACAATATGTCCCCACCCCAAAATCGTAAAGATTTGCAACGATTTTTGGGAATGGTAGTATATTTGTCAAAATTTGTTCCGAATTTGTCGAATGAAACAAGCATTCTGAGAAAATTGCTGAGCGATAAAAATGAGTGGCAATGGACTGCCACCGAACAAGTATGTTTCGATAAGATAAAACAACTTGTTTCTGCAGCTACAACTCTTCACTTTTTCAACCCTAAAAAGAAGACCATTTTATCGGTGGATGCAAGTCCATATGGCCTTGGAGCGATGATTTCGCAAGATGGCCGCCCCATTGAATTCGCATCTGTTTCTCTAACTCCCACTCAGAAACGTTATAATCACATCGAAAAAGAATTATTAGGTTTAGTATTTGGGTGTGAAAAATTCAGTTTTTATCTCTATGGAACCTCGTTTGAAGCAGAAACCGATCATCGACCATTGCTTGGTCTTTTGAAGAAACAACTTGATGAGATGTCACCCCGAATTCAAAAACTCGCAATGCGATTGATGCGATATCAATTTACCCTCAAATACGTACCTGGAAAAAACTTAAAAATACCTGATACGTTAAGTAGAGATCCTGTAAGTGACACTATCAATACTGACTATTTAGAAAATAATTTGAGAGTGTATTCAATAATCACTACTAGTAGACAAAATCAAAAAAGGCTACAGAGAGAAATTGACCTTGATCCTGTGCTACAAAAAGTCAAATATTATGTGCAAAACGGATGGCCTTTACATAAGACTTCAGTACCAAGTAGTGTAAAGCAATACTGGCCTGTCAAAAATGACATTTACTTACATGATAATGTGTTATTTTATCATAGAAGAATTGTGTTACCAGAGTCACTAAAAGGAGAATTCCTCAATATTATACATCAGACTCATCAAGGAGTAGTGTCTTGTAAGAAAAAAGCACAAGATGCCATTTATTACCCTGGTCTCATGAGTGACATTGAAAAACTAGTACTAAATTGTTTAACTTGTCAAAAGTACTCCAAAAGTAATGTGCGCGAACCACTATGCTCACATGAAGTGCCTGAACTTCCGTGGCTAAAAATAGGCATAGATTTCATGACCGTGGCATCTCAAGACTTTTTAGTGTTGATAGATTACTTCTCGAAATTTGCAATTGTTAACAAACTTACTAATAAAACCGCACAACATGTGATCTCTACCCTGAAGAACGTGTTTTCAGTGACAGGGCTACCGTTAGAAATTTTTTCAGACAATGGGCCCCCTTTTCAATCGAGGGAATTTAGACATTTTGCTGAAACATACGATATACAACTCACCACATCTAGTCCATTGTATCCAAGGAGTAATGGAATGGTTGAAAGGACGATTCAAACAGTAAAAGGACTCTTCATCAAGGCATTTCAAACCCAAAAAGACCCATTTTTGATTATGATGGACTATAACTCAACTCCCAAACAAAATTTGCCAGCCCCGTGCACGCTTCTGATGGGCAGGAAGTTCAGAACTAACTTACCCATGAAGACTGAACTGTTAACCCCAAACTATTCAACTAAAGATGTAATATCAAGGTTGAAATCTAATCAAGATCTACAGAAACAGTATTATGACCGTTCTACGAAGAAGTTAAATGAATTGGAAGTTAACGAGCCAATTCTCATGCAAGAAGCCAAGAGAAAATGGAATCCAGGAGTGATCGTTGCTAAAAATGGGCAAAATGACTATGTTGTTAGAGTCAATGAGGGCGAGTACAGACGCAATCGAGTTCATTTGAGACCTCTCAGTTATGAGCACCCTGTCAGCGTTGAGAAGAGATCTATAAAAGTGGAGAATGATGGACCTTCCGAAGCTCCAGCTCAAGATGTTCCTACGGAAGTGGAGAATGATGTACCCTCGGATGTATCCTTAGGACCTAACCAAAGTATTCATGGTGGATACATAACAAAGAGCGGCCGCGTTAGTCGCCCTCCAACTAGATTCAAATTATGAATTTAAATTTTTGATTATTTTTGAGTTGATAAAAAATATTGTCCCAGGGACATCCGCTGGCCGCAAAAAAAGGCGTCCAAGGGATGTCCTTCTGGTACGTCCCTGGGATGTACCAAGTACGATAAAAGGCTATCCCTAGGACGTCCCAAGGATATCCCAGGGACATCCCTTCGACAAAAGAAACAAAAATGTAGGTCGAGTAAGGATTGAACCCGGGACCTTTAGCTCATCAGGCACGCACCTTACTCCATTGGCTATTATACCTCCTGAAGATTTATGTACTGAACAGATTTATAGACAGGACTTGACTACAGAAACCTGAATAAATACAACCTTGTTAAGATTTCGGTATAATTATCATCATTCTTGGGTGTTTAAAAATGAGGGGCATTATGCATGTACGATTTCTGTTTGCGAAAAATGGTCATTTCTCAAGAAGTTCTGAGACTTTTATCCTCCATTTTCATTACAATTATTTTCCGGAAGGAAAACAAACAATTTCAAAAAAATTAAAGTCAATAGTTTGATGAAATTCAAAAACCCTGATGTGAATAGATATCAGATATTCCAGGGACACGAATAGGATAACCTAGGGATGTACCAAGCGGGATGTCCACTGGACAACCACTGCGGGACACCCCCTGGATGCCCCAATCATGTCCTTGTACCGCGGGACAAAAAAGGGACGTACCTAGGATATCCCTGTGTTGTTATGAGAAAGATGCAAGTTTGTGCAGTTTGCAACTGTGAGAACACAGGAAATCAATCAACTCTATTCGAATTCACATCGGATAACGTGATTCTACAAAAATGGTAACAGAATATGATGCGGCCGGCATGGAATATAGGTTCAGGCCACAAAATAAGACTTTGACGTTTTTGACTAGGACATTCTTGAGGCACTTTTTCACAAGAAATCTGAATGTCATCGAATTTTCCATGACGTTCTTGATGCCAAAGTTACAACACTCAACTTTTTTTAATTATGGTCGCCATATCGGATTTTTGCATTTTTTTGTCGCCAACAGTTTTGTTTAACAAATTGAATTTTGACAATTGAATATGCGAACATAACTGTTGCATCAAGAAGGGTTGCCGAGTGTCCATCAGGTATGTTTGCTGATAAGGTAATTCCGAACAACGGAGACATACCTTGGCCAGCGCGGTCACCTGATCTCTCTCCGCTGGATTATTATTTATTAGGGAACTATGGGAGATTTGATTTTCAAAACTGTACTGATCGATATTGATGAGCTGAGAAGAACCATAATCACCACTTTTAGGACTGAGATAAGAAGACGGGACATCTCGCGAGCAATTCAGAATCTGAGAAAACGCGTAGAATTGTGTTTAGACTTGGTTTTGTTTTGCGAAGAATAAACTTCAAAATTCAAAACCATAGTTTTTAAGAAGAAAATATGAACGTTCCGGATCCGAATTCAAATCGACTGTAGAAATTCAGCTTGTTAAACAAAACTGTTGGCGTTCTTTCCAAAGCACTCTTCGCAAAAATGTTTTTTTCCCAATTTTGATCAGCAGGAAAGATCCGATCATGTCGTGTGATAGATACATCATTGTAATACAAAAAAAAAATACTTTTCAAAAATGCATAAATCCGATATGGCGCCCATAACTTTGGAAGAAGAAGAACGTCAGGAAAATACGGAAAATGGAAAATACAATGACAGATTCAGATTTCTTGTTAAAAAGTGCCTTGAGAATGTCCCAGTCAGAAACGTCTAGATCTCTTGGTTTCAGCTTTAAAAAATATTACGAAAATTCCAATTCCAATAATTCAGAAACTAAAAATAACATCAAATTTTCTCGCAGATAAGTGTTCAGCATGAAAATGCGCAATTTTGCCGTAATTTTACCGACCTCGTATCCTATGATAACATTCACCTCTATATACCTAAATACATTATTTATATTCACCTTCGATGATATGGAAAAGCTTAACGAGAATAAAAACTACCACGGATACAATACTAGAAAAAGAAATGATCTTTTCACTGCATCTTCCACTCAGAATACAGCACAGGAAATCCCCACTTTATGCTGGAGGGTATTTGTTCAATCTGCTACCCGAGAGCATAAAATCTATTCGATGTCCAAAGACATTCAAGGTACACTTGAAAGAATTTCTGATCCACCAGGCATTCTACTCCTTAGATGAGTACTGCGAGATCAAATCTCAAGATTTTTAAAACTCTGTCTTTCGTATTCTGTCCCCTAACAGTTTCTAATTCTAATTAATTTTTATCTATTTATAGATGTAGTAATAATGTATTTATATCCTTTTTTGTATTTTTTTTTAACTTGTCTCATGTTGTGAAAATGACCTGTAGAGATTAATAAAGTATCTATCTATCTATCTAATTGAGATCCCCATGGTGGAGCTCGAAAAACGGACACTCTGTATATTATATCGACAATAAGTTCACAATTTTTGCCTTACTTTGAGCTGCTAGACATATAGGTTGTACCGTTCTAGTGAATGTTATTGGAGTGGAAAGCTTTAGAAGCGCTATATCGTGAGCTCTATTGCCAGGACTGAATTCCGGATTGATGATGATCGTTGCCACGCTCACATTAATGGAATTCACATCTGGAAAACAAATGTCGTACTGCCCCACACCGATTTTCATATCCAAAGGCGTCAATCTGAAACGAAAAAAAAAAGTGAATAGTCGTAGAGAAAGTATAGTCTGCTCCTCTCATGAAACGGTGATTATTTTGATTTTCAATATGTTTCATGCCAGGATATGCATTATTTTCGTCAATAAGTGTATAGGGTGGTTAACTATATTGTAGCGTAACTTCCACAGTTTAGAATAGTTCCTATAATACTTCAATCAATGTGAGATGCTTTGTTTTTTGAGATACAGGATGGATATTAACAGATTGAATATTTCGTAATCTATCAAATGCTTTGAATATTTGCTCTCAGTCTGTTATTAGTGTTATAATTATGTTTATTGGCATTGTGGCAAAATTTCGAAGTAATATCCATCCATCCATCCATATGCATGGTTATCTGAACGGGTCTTGAATGAACTATCCGACATATAAACATGGAGATCATTCATAAAACATCATGGAATGTTCTAGAACGTTCTCATAATTTTAAAATGAAATGTTCTGCTATGAATATTATGGAATTTTTCAAAACCTTCATCAATATTCAAATGATATATTCTATTCTATGATTATTCTTGGAGTTAATTCACATTCTAAAACGTTCTGATAATTTTCAAATAAATCATTATATTCCTAGAAAATATTTATGGAATATGGTATTCAGAGAAGGTTTCAGAATGTTTTCAGATATTTTCAAAATATATATTATGATTATTTCTGTTCTGGAACGATATGAGAATATCCGAATGATATATTCTATGAATAATCCCAGACAATCTTCATGGAATATTATAGAATTTTCTAGAACGTCCTGAGAATATTCAAATGCCGTATATTTACTCTTTATGATTTTTCCTGGAGAACAGCAGATTGAATATTCGAATGAAATATCATAGGATTCCTGGATCAAATTCATGTTTTAGAACATTCCCAGAATATTCAAATAATGTATTCTATCATCATCAGAAATTTCTCTGATTGCCTAAGAATGTGTTTGGGATCACACGTTGAAAGGTGAGACCCCCGTCATTCCTTGCTCGCACAAGTCTCTTGAAGACTTTTGAGGGTTGATAGTACGGGGGAAACCGATGATGGACAGGAACAACAACAACAACAATCTCTTCATGAGAACATTCATATAATATTTCATGATATTCCCTTCACATTGTAAGAATAGTCCGGAGAATTAATATTCTGAAGGAGGTTTATGTTGTGATCAAGTTGAATACTGTTATTTCATACTTACCCTATGACGTTATTCGCTGCTGTGACCAAATATCTGTCGTTGATGAGGGTAGCGGGGAACGGGGAAGAAACATTGTTGTGCAGATACACCAATGCCGACCAAGGAAATTCATGGCCCGTTAAATATTCACCGCCCAGGAAACGTGTTTCTCTGTTGGGAATACCACATTCTGCGGGAATAGGAAGAAAAAAAAAAGAACAATCATGCGACTGAAAAATTTATGGGATCGAGATATATACACCGAACTGGAGAGATAAGTGTGTATAAAACTAGATGAAATTTTTCATGTCGGTTAAGGTCAAACAAGAAGTAGAGTTACATTGTCAAATTTCTTACAAGAAGCACTTTTTTGCACAACTTCAATTTTTCTCATGATCTATCATCCGATATACCATAGTATGACGATGGTAAAAGTTATTTCATGAAATAGAAAATTGCTACTAATATTAATGTGAATTTAAGTTTGTTTGTTATTTATTTATTTATTCATTCACGTTACAAAAAATCAATTTCATTTGTGATTAGTCGGCAATACGGGTAAAAGAGAATATTTGAAAAATACAAAAACAATACAAAATCATGATGGGTGAAACCTGGTCTCCAGTGATATAGGTGGGAATGTATAGTATGTGGAAGTTAATATGCTATTATACAGGGTGGTCCGTTTTTTAATGCGGAAAATTTAACATCGTATAGTACTCGTTGAAATAATGAATAAACTTCCTATGAACATATACTTTTAAACGCTTCGTTTTCGAGATATAGGGTGTTCAAGTTTCTTTAAAAAATCGATTATTTATTGATTTTTCAGAAATGCTATAACCGATTGTGATGAGATTCACATCTATTATGGGAATATCAATGAGGTAACTTTTAGACCTATTACAGTTCATGAATGAGTTACATATTTTCAGGGGCGTGCACTTCAAAATACAATTTTTCTGCCCTCTTAGATTTCTTATCTAATAGCTTCGTTTCAGAAGGAAAAATAAAAATCAAACCTATGCATGTCTCTAAACCCAATGAAAGAAACATTGTAATGCATTACATTTAGTTAACATTGGTTGATCACCAAACCAATCATGACATGATATTAGTTTATAAATTACCTGCAACTGTCGAGCTGCTTTTCTAGAACTGATTTGTTGGTTAACATCAAAAAATCTAAGAATGTGATTGTTATCATTTCTTCTCAGTGGGCCATTATTTCGGTATTGTTCATTATTGCCACGTAACCCAAACTGACGGAAACGTGAGTGAGTATTGATAAAGACTCGTACATTAGGTACCCTTCTCCTAGGGAAGCGATTTCTGTATTCCCGAACTGCTGCCTCTGCGTTTCCATTACAAAATCCGTAAACGAAATGAATATCTGCTACTCTTCAGTACTAAATCCCATAGGCATATTGACAAACGGCAAAATTGGAATAGAATTATTACACTTTTTGATAAAAACACGGAATAACTCCAGTTTGTTATTTCTTTGACAGAACTTTCAGTGTGACAACACATATAAACAGTGAACGAGTGAACAATGAGCAACTGAGCATAGCCTACTTCTTTAATTGATATCAAGTAGTATTATTTAACTGAAAAATGTTATAAAATCTTAAAACCGAGCTTTTTTCATTGAAACTTGAAAAATAAATGAAAAATAATTACCCGACAAATTTGTGTAATTATTACCTTCGCCACCCCAGATTCAGCCGCCACTGAATAGTTTTTATGAATAATTTTTATTTAATCTAATAAAGCTCAAAAAGTTCAGTATCTGTGAAAAAATCCGTTAATTTATCTACCGTTTCTATCTTATAATATAATATATTCAGAAGCGTATTTTTGACACCCAGTATCTCAAAAACGAAGCGTTTAAAAGTATATGTTCATAGGAAGTTTTTTTATTATTACAACTAGTACTATAAGCTGTTAAATTTTCCGTATTAAAAAACGGACCACCCTGTATACTGATTTTGGTTTTTCACATCTTCTTAATGATATGATCGTCGTCTCTATTCATATTATTCATTAATTCATTTTATTTGCTTAAGTCAAGTCTACCTCAGCGCCTCAGCCTCCATGTACGTACTCCCTCTCCGAATAGAAGCAGTGGGATAACAAAATCTTTCGGATTGTTCTTTTGAATATATGTATAGGTGTTTCCTTAATATTTGCAGGAAGTTTATTATAAAGCTTGACATCTGTGGATGGAGTTACGGAACAGATCACAATTTCTTGTTGTATCATTATGAAAGGCATCATTGAAAAGTCTGTTTGGTTTTATGAATATCCAGCAAACAATTAAGTATATAGATACATGGTATGCCAGAAGTACTCAACCGATTATCATGAAACTTTGTATACATATATATTCTTAGATGTATTAGGAAGTACATAAGATACTTTTCATTGAAAACATGTATATTGACAGACATGATTGTTGATGAAAAATATCTAACATAACATCAGGTGGGCTCTTCGAAGGCGCAAAATCATTACTACATGAGAGATACCCTTCAGATTTTTTGCTATCCAGTGACTTGACCACGAATGACATTGACGTTTTAGTCTTCAGCGCAAGTGGGGAACCAAAATGCATGAATTCAATACTCTACCTGAATTGGTCAATCTAGAGACAGGGCGCAACAGATACTCCATGCGGAAGCATCTTGTTGTGATAAAATACATTTTGATTGTTTCAATAAACCATGTTTCCTGTTTCTGAAACTTCATTTTATGTGAAATATGTTGTTGTAGTGAAATACATTCCAATTCTTGTTGTGGTGGATTATTTTAATAAAGCATGTTTTCAGTTTCTGATCTTTGATATTTATTTGAGGACGAGCGAAGCTGCGGTTAAAAGCTAGTAAGAAATAAATACTTACTGCATATCTTACAAGTGTTAGATTGAGATTGCAAAGAGTTGAGCAGGAAATCAAATATCACGCCTTTCTGAGCAGGCACTGCATCTCCATCAGCTGAAACCTAAAAAAACAATTATTCATTATAGGAATAAGGTTGTACAAATTATAGGCAGCAATGTGAATAGTTGAAAATGTTGTTACTATTTTGATAGCCGCCAAGGAAGGAAATTTTCATTAATAATCTCAATGAAAAGGTCTAACTTTTGCAGCCTCAACTGAAACCATTTCCGTATAATTCACTCTTATACGTTCAATAACTAAAAGTGCTGCTCCTAAGGTGGCCTATGGAGTCAGTAACAAATCCTACACAGAACGGAAGTACCTCTCCTAGGGACTATGGCCAGATGGTGTGTGCATACACACCAATAAAATACAGTAAATGAACATTTGTTGTTGAAGGTATCAATTTTCTTTGTATTATATTCCTCAATTGAGGAAAACAATACATGGACAAAGATGTCAATTCGGAGATTCAGGAGTACATTTTGTGAGAATCAGGAAGAACAATAATTTTCCAATCCCGAGAAACGGTATTCTCTATATTACTAATATTTGAAAAAGTCGAGCTTTTGGCAATTTTTCAATGCAGACTATGATTTTGCTATAATTTTGAACGGTTTGAGGGATACATAAGTTGGTTGTCTGAACCCGGTATATAAACTCAGAATTAGAAAATCAATCGAACCGTGTGAAAAAATTTAAGTTTTTATTTAAAGTAAAAAAGTTACGCCGACTTTTAACATACCCTGTATAGCTGAGGGACCAAAGATTCGATCGATTATAACATATAGAAGAGCATACCAATTTCACGTATGTGTGGCCTATGTGAAAATCACCCTGTATAAGATATACTTTCTTTGTTTATTTAGGAGAAGCATGTTTTTCCCGTTTTATTTCAATACTGATTGCTCACCCATTCATGTAGATTAGCTTCAATCAGAAACACCAGCAAAAAACTGATCCACCATCTACTATCCATGATTGCGGAGAGACAACTGGTACAGGTCGAGAGATCTCTTCAAATATGTTGATAATTTTCCAATCAAATTTGAATATAACGGTAGTTGTGATGCACATGATGCTGGTTCGACCTACATCAATATGGTCGACGATAACATTTTCCATTTATTTCATGGAATTATGTTTTTTAATGAAGGTGAAAAGAAAGTCGAAAAAAATTGAATATGTTCAGGCCCCCATGTTTAATGTTAGTTGCCTCTTTATCCCGCATGATTCAGTTTTTGTTGGTGTGTCGATCTGAAGACTAATTTGGAATTAGTCATAGTTAAATGTCTTAGTAAATATTTCAATTCAATTCAGCATTTTTTCAATTCAATATTATGTTTTATCGCCATAAATACATTCGTATTTGTTGAGAAAGCTAGTACATATACATATTCAAATGAACTATAATAAGCAATATGTAATTCTGAATGTGAAGCTTTTTGAAATTCATTTGAAAATATACAATCAAAAGCTCGTATAAAGCCTTAGTTGAAGATACACAATTATGAAACACATAAAATAATATAATAAAACTATCACATTTAAGAGCTCTTATGAGGCCATAGTCAAATACTTATAGAGTATATGTTGTATAAAACGATATTTCAACGAACTAATCAAGAAAGAAAGGAAAACATGATTTTAGAGTCTCTGTGAAAAATATTCCTTGAGGTTTTATAGTGGAGTCTGAACGAACAATATTTTCACCTTAGCCCGGAATTTTTTGTTACACGGAATTTCGTTGATATGATTTGGCAAATTATTGAATATCTTTAATCCATTATAAATAATGGACTCTTTGATCATAGTGGTACGGGGCTTATCAATTTTACTTGTCCGTTCTGTCTTGTGTTATAATGTGATGAAACAAGCTCTAAGTAATAATATTCTCAGATATAAAGTGTGCGTCAATTGAAACGTTAATAGTGAAATTTGGCATCAAGTTTGACTTCTCGTAATTTCTAAAATATTGAACGAATTTTGAATTGCCGCCCAGATTCTGAATGCCTTTTTCATCGTCTTTCGAACCTTTCCTTACAGCTTCTTCTGAATTGATCAGAATCCATGATACAGGGTGAAACAAACTTACGTGCATTTTGAAAAAAAATTCTCCGCCCCCCCATTTTGTTGGAAGACTACGCTGCTCATATTTTATTGAGGCATTTCATAAATATAGCAACCATACCTCGGGACATTTTCGAGTTTTTGCCAAAAACTACTGTGGTTTCCGAAAAACAAATTTTTTTAGCATTTTTTTTTTAAATGGACTAATTACCTGTATCCTCAAAACGATGAATCAGTCTCTTTATTATCATGATTGACTTATTGAAAATGGTACTTAAATGAGTTTGGGTATATAACCTAATCGTCGTAACCTGAAATAATAATTATCTGTACTGAATTATAGTTAATATCACTATCGTGATCTTACCTAATGATATTTTCCATTTCGACCCGATTTGAACGAGGCATCTTTAAATTTTTTAGGACCCGAATTACACTGACGTTTTCATGAAAATTGGCAATTGATATAACCTCTATGCATATCTACATTGTTTCAACAATAACGCTGACGCTGTTATAGAAACAAGGTATCGTTATTTGTATTTGTTGATGAGATGTGTTGATTTACTGCTCACTAAGGTAGAAAACTTTTATCATAGACTACGAAGTAATAAATTATTGATTGTTTTTGAGTAACCTGGTATACATATCTCCTCCAACGATTTCCTGAAATGCATAAAAGCATCCATTTATGGAACTTCTCTAAAATTAGTCCATTAAAAAAAAATGCAAAAAAAAATTTTTTTTCGGAAACCACAGTAGTTTTTGGCAGAAACTCGAAAACGTCCCGAGGTATGGTTGCTATTTATGAAATGCCCGAATAAAATATGAGCATCGTGGTCTTCTGACAAAATGGGGGGGCGGAGAATTTTTTTTCAAAATGCACGAAACTTTGTTTCACCCTGTATCACGGGTCCTGATCAATTTAGAAGAAGCTGTAAGGAACGGTTCGAAAGACGATGAAAAAGGCATTCAGAATCCGGGCGGCAATTCAAAATTCGTTCAATATTTTAGAAATTACGAGAAGTCAAACTTGCTGCTAAATTTCACTATTAACCTTTCAATTGACGCCCAGTTTATTTATGAACACAAAAAAATGGAGACATATATCAAGAAATACATTAAGAATTCGCATTCTCCATGTGATGAAAATATTAATTGTTTCTCGGTTTATCCAACAGAAAACAACTACTTTCCTGGCTATATGCCACGCCGAACATTGAATTAAATACATCTATTGAACACACACGATAAGAATTCGAAAACAAAATCTTCTGAAGTAGAGAATTTGCATTCACCTTCATATAAAGGTATGCACATATATCATTCTGAATATTCAACAGAAAACAACTACTTTCCTGGCTATTTGCCACGTCGAACATTGAAATATATCTGTTGAATATTCAAAAAAGAGAGCATGAAAAATGAAAATCCTTGAAGCATATACCAAACGTAATCTTACATGATGACGGACATCTTGCCATACATTCAGAATTTCTTTCCACGTCCTGTATGATGAATATAAATTTATCATACATCCAAAAACTATGTTTTTTTGTTATTATATTATTCAAAAGCGCCATTACTACAACGAAGATGTATATTGCACTATAATTTGTATTGCAACATTGTACAGTCTATGTAAATCGAACATTGAAACGTTGAAATATCTCATTAGTACACTAGATGGTTAAATAACTGAAATCATTACCAAATATGGTGAGGAACTGTAAGGTAATCGATCTATACAAAAATTGATTGATTCCATACTTTCCATCAACTCTGTATATATACACCTACTCAATTAATCAAGGCGTATAGGTGATATGATGGCTGCACATAATTCAAAAACCAAGCTTCAATTCCATTCACTTCAGCATGGTGAATTATCAGTTGTGATTGCCCAAGGGAAATGAATAGCTATTGGCAGAATTACCAGAATTAATCATATTCGATGGATATTGTCAGATAATATAATTCAGTGCATATAATTTTGATCATTAAATACTCGTGTGCATAATGATAACCACAAATTCATGATCTTTGACTTTTAAGCATAATAAACACGGCTCCATTAGGAAATACAAATTTTAGTTTTGAAAATTCCGGAAAATATCTGTTGAAAAGGTTTGGTTTCACTTTCATTCATCAGATTTCAACAACAATTTCCAAAATAGTGGAAAATTCTATTAAGATAAAGTTTCTCAGAATTGTTCTCAAATTTGGTCTTATTATCTACCTATAGGGTAACGCCCCATATTTCGACCTCTGCCTTTAGCTTCAATTCCTCAATCTATGATGACTATACGAAAGTAAGAGGTGGAAAAAAATTTAATTCAGTATGTAAGTTTAGGGTTTTCTCGGTCAGTTCTATTCTTTGAAACTTTTGAAATGAACAGTTACGAATAGATTACTTTTATAAATCACCCTGTATAATCATAACTCTAGCGAAAGAACTCTCATCTCTGAAAATAATGAAGATATTGCTTATTTCTGACTAAATCAATTCTTTTGTTATGATCAATTATTACCTTCACACAGAATATACATTTTTTCCCAAATATTGACCAATAATGAAAACAAAATCAGTGATTTTATGTTTTTTGGCAATACAATTAAGTAATTTTCGTCAGTTTGCAAAACGGCATATTGAAGGTGTCTGATTTACGCAATTTTTTTTAATCAATTTTTTTGTCTCATACCGTGTATCTAAATACCACCGAAAATATTCAAGGGATGATTCCTTGTGATTTTTAAGAAAATAAAGTTTATATAAACACGTGTCCTAACTTGTTTCGTTTTCTAGATACAGGGTATTAATATTTCCATGAAAATTCTTTTTTCTATTCATTTCTCAATTGTCTTTTCATCAATTTCAATAAAACGTTGTGGTTTTGTTGAAAGTAAAATGGAGCTTCTTCTAGTGCAATTAGATTCGAAATACTATTTCCAGTGGCGTCACAGTCGGTAAATTTACAGATATTCATGGTGAATGTCATTGTACACCACTGGTTTTTCTGAGTTTCATATTTTCATTATATTGAACTATTGAAATAACAACTTTTGTATCCTCAGTGTGATTTTACTATCTAGCTTAGTTTTTGAGGAAACAATGAAAATTCGATTTGACTCCAAATTTTAATGTAGGTGTTTTCAAGACTTCCATTGAGATTACTCAATAACCCCAATTAGAATTATTTTGAAATTTTGGGGCTTTCTCAGTCTCCATCCATACTGAATTTCGGCACCATGAAAGCTCAAACAGGGGGGGTTGTAAATAAAAACAATTAATGCTTCCAACATCAACATCCTGTATCTCAAAAACGGAGCAAGTTAGGACGCATGTTTATATAAACTTCATATGCTAGAATGTCACAAAAGGAAACACCCCTTGAATTTTTTTGGACACCCTGTATAGGTAGATGTATAATATACGTACAGTCGCATTAAAAAAAAAGCGTACAAGTATATTACAGAAAGAAATTAACGTCATCCTATTCTGCATAAAACTACTGCTATCGGGAATGATTGTTCACCAAATGTTGACACTAAAGTTGTCATAGGTTCTCGAAAACACAAGCCAGATTTACACAACTAGAACTAGGATTCCGAAATCCTCTCTTTTTAATACGACTGTACTTTTAATTCGAGCTGAAAAATCTAATGAATGTTTGCATCTACTTCAAAGAGCCCAACTGAATATCGCCCGATAGAGGGGTTGGAGTGGGGCAGATTCTTGGCCAGCAGCACTTTGGGGTGCTTTGGGGTTGACCGTCGCTGACGTCACAGGAGAGGGACAGGCTTATTATTTTGTGCCCGGTTCGAACTCATCTGCATTCGAAAGGGTCGAAAGGTAATCTGCGGTTATTTTGAAATGAAATTTCAATCAGGGGTTGCGTATAAGGATTT